CCGCCCGGGGGGGCCAGCCACGAGAGAAAGCTGGAGCTTGTGGCAGGAGGGCTGGGGGCAACACGCTGTTGAGTTCGAGCCCCGAATGAGCCTCGTGAATTTGAGAAACCACAGTTTGGGTGGGCCAGCGCTCCAGGAACACGGCGGCCTCTGGGCCCGCCCTTCTAAAAGCGAAGTGAAGGCCTCCGAGAGCCCTGGGAGCTATTTGGGCTCCCGGTGATGACATCAGTGCCTGATGACATCAGCATGGTGCCATGTCTCTAATATGACATCACTGCCTGATGACATCAGCGTGGTGCCATGTCTCTAATATGACATCACTGCCTGATGACATCAGCGTGGTGCCATGTCTCTAATATGACATCACTGCCTGATGACATCAGCGTGGTGCCATGTCTCTAATATGACATCACTGCCTGATGACATCAGCGTGGTGCCATGTCTCTAATATGACATCACTGCCTGATGACATCAGCGTGGTGCCATGTCTCTAATATGACATCACTGCCTGATGACATCAGCGTGGTGCCATGTCTCTAATATGACATCACTGCCTGATGACATCAGCGTGGTGCCATGTCTCTAATATGACATCACTGCCTGATGACATCAGCGTGGTGCCATGTCTCTAATATGACATCACTGCCTGATGACATCAGCGTGGTGCCATGTCTCTAATATGACATCACTGCCTGATGACATCAGCGTGGTGCCATGTCTCTAATATGACATCACTGCCTGATGACATCAGCGTGGTGCCATGTCTCTAATATGACATCACTGCCTGATGACATCAGCGTGGTGCCATGTCTCTAATATGACATCACTGCCTGATGACATCAGCGTGGTGCCATGTCTCTAATATGACATCACTGCCTGATGACATCAGCGTGGTGCCATGTCTCTAATATGACATCACTGCCTGATGACATCAGCGTGGTGCCATGTCTCTAATATGACATCACTGCCTGATGACATCAGCGTGGTGCCATGTCTCTAATATGACATCACTGCCTGATGACATCAGCGTGGTGCCATGTCTCTAATATGACATCACTGCCTGATGACATCAGCGTGGTGCCATGTCTCTAATATGACATCACTGCCTGATGACATCAGCGTGGTGCCATGTCTCTAATATGACATCACTGCCTGATGACATCAGCGTGGTGCCATGTCTCTAATATGACATCACTGCCTGATGACATCAGCATGACGCGGGGGGGGGGAGAGGAGATAATAAAATCTCCATGTTATTCCTCAGAGACCAAACAAATCACATATCTCCCCGGCACGTCCACGTCCGTTACTTTTCCAGTCAGGGCCAGTAATAAAGCCTGTAGGTCCCCCCCCATCCAGGCTGAGGATGGTATATCCTGGCCTGAGTGGCAATTGGGGGAGGGTGCTGGTGGGGGAGGGCAGCAGGGCTGGGGCACCTGGCCTGGGGGCAGGGTGGGGTGGACGCTGGCCTGGCCTGAGGATGGGGCAACTTGGGGGAGGAGGGAGGACAGCCCCTGGGCCAGCCTGGCCTGGAGGTGGGGCACATGTGGGGCT